CCCCAAAACCCCAAAACCCCAAAACCCCAAAACCCCTATATCACATTTTCTTATTGAAATATTATAAATCAAATAAAACATTGTTTAGATCATGCCAAATCCTTCAGAGTTTTCTATGGCGAGTAGCAAAGCTTGCTTTAGCCTTTCCTTATTCGAATAATTTGGCAACAATAGAAGGTTGAAACAGGTCTGTGCTCAAGGGAGCTTTTCATCATCCTCTCCGTTCTTTACTATGATGAAGCCAATACTTTCAAGACCTGATACTGGAGCTTTGGCACAACCTGTACAGAAGAACAAGAACTTTTTCTGTTGTTCTTCATTAAGCTCGTCAATAAGGATGTCCCAGAACCAGTTAAGGACCTCTTCTTCGCCTTCAAATCCGTCATATCTAGTCTCTTTCATCATGGCTTCAAAATCAAGCTTTTGGGATCCACATATGAGTTTTTGAAGCTCTTCTGGTCTAAATAGAGTCAAAGCATCTCCTCCACAGGCTTTATGGAATCCCCTGGAGAATGCTTCGAACTGGTTCTCAATAGATCTATTGAAGATGAAGTCAATCAGAAGTTCAACATACTCTTGCTTGTTTTCTTGGGATACGAAAATATTGGCACCATTTTCCTTCAGTGCTTCGGTCTTGTTTTCTCCAAAAACTTCATACTCATAAATGAAAGTCATGTAGAGATCATCCTGAAGAGTTGGAGAGTCACAGTCTAGGATATATTGCAAAGATTTTCCAGTGCTTGGGTCTAGCTCCTTAATGTCATCCAGAGTCGGCTCAATGTTCAGCAATTTCTTGTAACAAGCAACGGGAAAGTGGATGTCGAGGATAACTCCATTGTAAATAGCTAGTCCCATCAAAACTCCAATAAGTTCGAACTTAATGTTGCTCTCAAAAGTTTCACCGTTGAACCATACAAGTTTGGAATCTTTGAAGTAATTGAACATAGTGTATTCCGGTTTGAAGAGATCTCTAACTAAAATTTGGAAAAATTCTTTCTGAACTCCTCCCTCATCTTGGCCAAGCTCTCCTTCGAACTCTACTTTGAGTTGCTTCTTGAGATTAATTCCTTCTCTGATCAAATTGTTAAGGGTATCTTCAATAATGAAATCTCTTCTCACTTTGAATTGAAGGTAGATCATATCAGCATTGTTGATGCCAGGATTCTGACTGGAGAGGCCCTGGATAAAAATATTTGCAAGCTCTTCATCTGCCATCTGTTGCATATAGATTTTAGCCTCAGTCATCATTATTTCTCCCTTCGCTGTGGTATCAAGGAGCCAAGGGTAATTACAAAAAGTGGTAACTTCATATTTTCTGAAGGGGACATCGTTTCTGTCACAAAAATTCATAGCTCTGACCCAGACTTCATAATGACCTCCAAGGTCAACATCTAGGCACATTTCTTTATTGAAGCCATCATTGTTGAATTCTAAATAGTTAATTTGGTCTTCAGGCTCTTTGTTCACATTAGCGCCATGATAAATATCCAGCAAGGATAATAAGCGGATAAATGCTCTACTTTCTTGAGACTCCAATGTATCTAGAAACTCAAGCACATTTTCTGAGTTAAAGCTTTCATTGAAAATATTGATGGATAAAATATTCTGAAACTTTCTGATATGGTCTAAGAACCTCTCTTTGTCTAATTTACTGAGCCAGTAGACCAAGATGTCGCTCTGAATTTTATAGGTCTCGTGGACAGTCATATCTTCTTTGAGCTCTTCCATGATGAACTCCTGATCAGATCCTTGAAGTACTTCTTTCAAGTGGGAATCGATATTCTTCTTATTGAGCTGAGACTCTAGCATATAGGCAATGCGATCTATTATGGATTCAAAGCTTGGAGACATCAAGTCAGGGTTTTCAAAGTTAATCAGAAAACTTCTTAAAATCCAGGGCTCTTCAATATCCTTTGATTCCTTTTTGAAGGAGTCAACAAAGTTTTCTCCAGCGGTTGTAAAAAGTTTGAGGCGTTCCTCTTCATCAAATTTTGCGTCAAATATCTTGTAGAATTCCGACAATTTGTCAAAATCAATATTATGTGTGTCTGTCTTCAGGTAGATCTCTCTATCTTTGAGGAAGGAGAATGAAAGAGTGAAAGGAGACGAGAAAACTTCTAGAAATCTCTTCTCAAAATCTTCCTTCGTTGCTTCAGAAAGTTGAGCCAACTCCTCTATTTGGATTGTCTTTGGTATCGTTGCTGAGGGGCATAGCTTAATTTTGTTCGAGTCACTGCCCATGGTTTTCACAAACTGAATTGCAATTTTAAGAGCTTCTTTTTCTGTTAGATTTCTATCTTTGAATTTCATCTTATTAGATGCACAGTCTTTATTAGTACAAAACTCTCTTCCGCATCCTTTCGTGAGCTGACAGAACACCTGGGTGACTATTTTCTTGGCTCTTTGTTTCTTATCCTCAATCAGCTTCTTCTCCTCATTCACATCACTCTTCTCTACTTGTGGGGGCTGAGACTCCATGTTCCAAACAACTTATTAATTTATCAAAAATTTCGCCCTTATTTGGGGTTTTGGGGTTTTGGGGTTTTGGGGTTTTGGGG